GAGAGAGAGAGAGAGAGAGAGAGAGAGAGAGAGAGAGAGAGAGAGAGAGAGAGGCACAAGCTGTATAAAAATTATATGTACAGCAAGGTTATGAAGCCTTAAAAAGTTATTTTCATCATCAGTGTTTCATTTTGGAGCTCAGCATGCAGAAAAATCATAAGCACATTAACACACATACATACAGTATATTGTGTTTGGGATTTTGTGTCACACGAAATGTGTTAGGAGGACAATAAAGTGCAATCCAGTCATTAATTAAGGCAGCTTGAGCGATAATGATAAAGAGCTGAGAACTGAAAGCAGTGGGATTAAAGAATTGAGGCTTAATATACTCTGTTCAGAAACTTACTTTAATAAAGGTCCTAAAGCTTCCTCCCATCTACTTAACACACAACTCAAACACACTAAAACAGTCATGATCAAATCTTGAAACTGAAGTTTGTGTATCTCATGCTCTGCACACCAGATGGAGTATCAGCTGTATTTGATTAAGACGAGTGATTTGATTTTCTGTTTTTGTGTTAAGGTTTGACTTAAAAACTAACCTGTGTGTACTGTGATGGTTGTGTTGTCATAGTTAGGAAATATGCAGTTTGTCTCAAAAATAATTTACTCAAAATTATTACAGAAATTTATTAAAATATTTGTACCTAACTTTTATGCCAACTGATCGTAGTTCTTCTTTTTTTTCTTTTTGTTTATTTCAACATGTCTGCATTTTGAGGGGTTGTTGGTGAAAGAACCCAATTGCAGAATTCAAGGAAGCAGGAGAGATGGAAATCGAGAAAACAAAAGAAAGGGATAGTCTGGATATTTTTGATGCAATGTTTTGTCAAATAGTTATCAGTAGTTATATCTTATCAGCATAACATCAGTTACAGAATATGGACCATGGAAAAAGGGAAGAAGACTTTGTCCAAAAAGTGTATAAACATGGTCTACGCTCAGTGCTCATACATCAAATTACATCCCAAAAAATTTGTGTTCATCCATTCTGTTTCAATTAGTTCATGGAAATTGTTCAATTGAGAAAACTGAAAAACCATTTAAACAGAATCGTGCACAAAGGTAGCGGTATATTATTAGCTAATGCAGCATTTATTCACATCATTATGTCATTTCTGAGAAGGAGTTTTTTATAATCCTGAAAAATATTTTCTATAGCCTGGATTAACACTTTCTGTACTGTTCTCTGTACTTTGTGCTCTATGACTGATTATTATAACAAATATAAAAAAGATATGTGCCCATTCCTTTGCTACACATCTGTAGTTTAGGCAAATGTTAAATAATAAAAATTGCTGGCCATTTTCAAATTTAAATAATATGAATAAAATATAGAGCGTTCATGAAAACCATGATTTGTCACATTAATTTGAACATTTCACTAAAACCCACTTGGTAAAATAGTAAATTCAGGTTTAGCGTGGCAACCTTCTCAATTTTTATGCACACAGGTTTGATGCACCACCAACTGAGATTTAAAGCAAAATGTAAGCAGTTGGTAAACCCAGTTAATTGAAATAAAATTGAAAGAAATTAAATGCTCTGTCAAGTAATTTTATGCTACAAATACACAAATTAGTTCTGGCTTCTTGTGACAACGTGTTCATTCGTGGAAAATGGTTTTCTCATTAATTGTGTTCATCCTGTCTGTTTCTGTTATATTTGCAATTTAACATCCTGTGAAATACATATTTCCTGACAGCTTGGCATTTTCAGTCGATGCAGTTTATACTACTCAAGCTTCCTGTGGTGTATCGTCTGTTTTATGACTTTTATTATTGAACTTTTTTTTTGCTGACTCTTTGACTTCTAATGTGCCTGCAGCAAAAAATTATGCATTTTTTTGTTTATTAGTTTTTTTAAGTAACTTTTTTACTTCACGATATAAAGGCCAAAATATTAGATTTTTTTTCTGTCATGCACCACAGAGGGATGAAATTACTGTGTTTCCCTCCAGTACAGCAAGCTGAATGGCATGAATGTGTGTGTGCATGTGTAAACCATGCATTAGCTGTCCACAATGTGCTATAATCATTTACATATACACTGGCACGTCACCATACCTTCCTATTCCCTCTCCTCCTTTTTACCACTCTATGTTCTCATGAAAGCTGTTACCCAAAAACATGCATTTACTGCAGCAGATGGAGCAGAAAATGGATTTGCATTCAACCCCAAAGTGTTAAATGGAAATACCTTTTCCTGCTGCCCTCCAGTAAGTCCAGGTTTATGCAAATTGGATACACCACCATGTTATAGCAGCTTTATTAGCTCCAATCTATGACTTTATGACTCAGTGAGTATATGAAGGTGCGTAGGCAGGATTAAAAGGCCATTCTTATCACTCTGCTTCCATGTCTGCTATGTCATTTTTCGTAAACCTGTTTTGTATCTCTGTACAGCCTTAAAGTAGGACAACTGAGTCAGATTCAAATCTTTAAGCCTACTGGTAGTAAAAGCATCTTTATTTTTAAAAATGGCATATAGCACAGTTGGAAAAATATGTTAGTTTAGAAAATAAAAATAGGTTGAATAAAAGTTCCAGCAATTCTTGAAAGAATACATACTATATCACCCCCCACATTTCATGCCACAGTTTTAACCTGAGATCATATGATAATGTGAAGAGATGTACATCCTTTTTGATCAAACCTCAGAAATGATGTTATACACTATGTTATACATTATTGCAAGAGCTTTCAAGATATAATAGAGCTCAAAGTATGGGTTTAGAACTCTCAGTTGCTGCACTGTCACAGCAAATTTGGCTCAATATACGGAAAGTTAAAAACTCACCAGAATCATCAAATGGGTAGATAAACCAATCAATAACATTCAAATGCATCTCACAGAACTTTACATCCATTCATTACAAGGGAAAGCAAGCTGTATCACCAAGGACCCCTCAGACCCCCTTCAACAGTCATTTCAACTTCTACCTTCAGGTAGCATTTTAAAGTCTCTTKGCCAAGAAGAAAAACTTGTAAAAACAATTTCTTTCCCACTGCAATCAGCCTTTTAAGCAAAAGAAAAATGTGTGTTTACAAATGGGTAGTGTATGGTTTTATTAGGAGGTAGGTTCATGTGGTGGTGTTGGTGGTGTGTGTGTGGGGGGGTATGTGTGATATATTTTATTGTGTTTGATAATGTGTCTGAGTTTCTATCATAGACCAATGACAATTTTTTGTTACAACATCTGTCAAACAAGGTTTTTTGAATCTTGAAATTGACAGCCAGTTATGTGTTGACTAGGGTCAGTTGGTTGTGACATTCATCTTGAGTTAGGATAATTCTAAATGTTATTGAGTTGTAGATGTACCTCCAAAGATTCCTTTTTGACATTTTATAAATGTGTCCAGTGGTTTATGTGATATTTTGCTAACAAACAATGTTGACTCTAACAGTTAACAACAAAGTTTTATATGTAGTGCTACCCTGAAAATTTAAGCAAACTGTGCTATTATTTCTATATTACTTTACATTACTGCTCAATAAGGGTGTAACAATACATCGATCTATATCGATATATCGATTTGAATGGTTCATGATTCAGTTATCAAGGCAAAATGAAAATATCGTCCTATATCGTCATCATATGCTCGATGTGAATCAACATCATATACCCATCTAAGACAGTCTTTGTGTTAGATATGTGAACTGAACTGAATCAAAATCGTATTGTGACAAACTTCGTGATATTGAGAAACATTGAATCGTTATCCAAACATATCGATGTAATATTGTATTGTGATAAAGCTGGTGATATACACCCCTACTTCTCAAATGATTGTGGTGGCCGATAGAGTGGCAGAAGAATAATTTATGGTGGCCACCATTAGCCATCCCCTGGATCTGCCACTGCGCCTGTTGGAGGATAAAATTGCTCCCTTGCTAGAATTCATCGCTACACCTCCTCAGACAAACAAAAAACCAACATGCCTCTGTTCTTCTACACAATTGAACTAGTTCCCACTTTAATATCTTGCACCAAAAACACCAAGCTTTACTTGCATTTCTCGTTCACTTCCATGACCAAAACACACATGTCTCAAAAGACACAAACTTTCTCTATTCAAATCCTTCAACAACAAGGAATATCAGCGCACCTCTCGTTCCTTCTGCAAGGAGATCTACCAAATCTCAAGCTCGGGACAACCTTTACAAATGATGTCAGAAACACATCTGCATAGAAAATCACACAGCACAGTAAACTCAGTGAGGAAGGCAGAATGCTCAGCTGGAGAGAAATCAGATTTTTTCCCCTAACTATACAACAGAAGCTGTACACTGTAATTTTGTGAGCAGCTCCTGCTGACAAAGGTTCCTTTAGAAAGAAGTGAAATATCTGCCAGAAGAAGTCAGAAATTTGTAATCTGAAGAGCACTGTTAAAAAAAAAAGAATTGGCAGCAATGTTTATTGTTAGTTTTTACTTCATTACCCACAGTATGATTTATCCTCAGCTATCTGAGGGGTTTCAGGGCTGCTGCTGGGTCTGAGAAAATTACTTTTTGAGAAAGTGGATACACGGATTGTTGGGCAGAAACAAAAGAAGAAAAAATATACAAACTGTCTTTGCAGAAAATTACAAAATGAAAAAAACTACTATTAGAAATGAATGTTTTAAGTTGTTTTTTCTATACTATTTGTTAATTTAGTGAATCATGAAATTAATTAAAGCATCAGTATTTAGTATCTGATACATGTTTTCAAATTTCTTCTTTGTAAACAAAACTTTGTCTTCTGCATCCCTTCATGCTTTCAATCAACACAATTCATTCCTTTGTTTTAGTAAGATGAAAGTGGACCATTTTACCAAACTGATAATGTTTGGTTGCATGGGATGTCCCAACCCCGCCTCCCCCCTTTAACTAACAGCTCTCTTAATTGTGTTCTCATTTTAAAATCATGCTACAATTTCTATTTTATTATTTTGCCTCATCTGAAGAGTTTATCACCTTTCTTTTCTTTGTCTTTATCTTTCAGGGGAGATTTGTGCCTTTAAGATCTTTGGTCAAGACGCCCCCTTTGAGGCTGTGGTGCTGAATCGGACTTCAGGAGAAGGAGTACTGAGAGCCAGTAGCCATGTGGACTGTGAGAGCCAGAAAGAGTACACCTTTATTATCCAGGCTTATGACTGTGGGGCCGGGCCCAGCGGAGCAGACTGGAAAAAATCTCACAAGTAAGTCAAGTGATGCCTGTTGAAAACACTCAATTCTCTTAAGGCTAAATCATCACTTTCAGTCTTTACTAGGGCAGCATTTATTGTTTTCTCAGTTATTTATAATCTTCTTTGTATTGCTCTCTCAGAATAAGGTGCTATGTATTATTCTAGATCGAAAAAAAATAAAGTCACAGGAATAAAGTTGGTACAATGTGTCACCACTTTCAAGGTATTATATCCTACATATACATATCTAATAAAACACATGAAGAAGCAAAAGGCATATTTCTAAATCACTGTATACTTGTTCAAAAATGCAACAAGCTCCCCATTTCAATCATTTTTTTCGATAATGTGTCCTAATTTACTCCTAAAATATAATTGTTTAGACAGAAGTTTTTGTTGTCATTGTAAAAGGCTACTGTGGACGTTTCACTTCAAGACAAGACTGAAACATCTTTTTGCTATTTCAAAATCATTCATAAAATAATAGAAGCCAAATGGTGGGTTGAGGTTAACCCACTGCCATTATGCCTCTGAGCTGTAAATGAGGAAGTGACAGAACTGTAATGGTCGATACATGAAAGGGTCACTGTGGCTGCTTGAGGATGTGGAACCTGAGAAAGTGTAAATATTTTATGAATAGGTTATGTAAGCTGACACAGTACTTGACTGGTTAAATAAACTTAACAAGGATGACAAATTATATGCATCAATTATTACCCAAATACTTTTATATGAACAATACTGCACAGAAAATTTGCACAAAAAATCTATTGCACAAAATTGCATTATACACCTCTAAAACAAGAACAATGTATGCAAATCAAAGCAGTCATAGTCTGTAGTGTGTAATATAAAGCAGCTCTGTGGGTAAGAGCAGGTCTTCAGTTCAGTTTAATGGATTTAATTGGAGCTGGAGGACAGAGTCCTGTGTGGTTTATTTGTGTGATGGCTGAGGGGTGAAAGCTGTTTCTCAGGCAGGTTGTGCAGGCATAGAAGGTTCTGTGATTCCTTTCAGGAAGCAGATTGGGAAACATTTTGTGTGCAGAGGGGTGTGGGCTCCTTGATTATTTTCTTAGCTTTGTGAGTGCTCTGGGTGTGGTGGATTTATTCCAGTGATCTGGTGGGCTGATTTTATGAAGCACTACATGGTCTTTCAGTTCTCTAAAATGCTGAAATAAGTTACCCCTCATACAAATTGATCAACTCATACAATTATTTTGAATTATGATCTTATTTACTGGTAGCACAATGTTTCCTCATTATTTCTGTAATTTTGTAAATGTAGGTAGGTCAGTAATCTTGTAACCTGCTGATTATTGTGTCTATCATTTATTAATTAAAAAATAAATGGAGGGAAATTATAACAGCTTATGTCATACCATGTCATGTCATGTCATGTTATGTTATGTTATTTTTCAAGACAAAAGACAAATTTCAAATTAATTCCTTGAGACCATTGCAACATTTTTTGTCAATAATGTCATTGTCATGTCACATTTAGAGTTTTATATTTCTGTAGCCCTTTTTTTTACAATAACATTCAGAAAATGCAATTGTTGGTAAATAAAACCCTATCACAACACAAAAAAAATTAACAAAACATTTAAAATTTCCAGAGAAAAATCTAGTTATTTCAATTTTATTTTGAATGTAGACACTTGTAAACCGTCACAAGCAACATTCTGTGATAATTTGTTGCTGGTGAAACAGAAACATATCTGTGTGTCACTGAGGGGAAAATTTCAAATCTGACCCACATGTTCACCAACACCAATGTTTGCAGGTAGTTTTTCCACAGACTGACATTTACATAAATATTTACATCAATTATATGTTTTTGATTGATTTGAATTTACTAGCAGGCACCTGTAGTTGTTTTTGTTCATTTTAATGTGTTACATTCCTAACTCAAATTCAAAAATCTAATTATTGTAATTATATATGGCTGGCTATCATTTCAGTTTTCTATGCTTTAAAAATTTGTTTTTCTCTTGCTGCTGAATAGACTCAAGCCCTCTGACATATCCTTGGATCTTTCTAAGGATATAGGCTCCAAATAGCGCAATAATAAAATGTATGTCCTTTTGTGTGCAGTTTTATGTGAATTAGACTGACAAACAGCTGTATGCGTGTGGACAGCAACAAATCAGATCTTTTGGTCCTTCAGTCAGTGACAAAAAGCTGCTAAAATAAACTACGGCTCTGCACTGACAGGAAGGAGAAACGTGTATCAACTCAGGGATCTGTGATGAATTTCTTTAGAGGAAGAATAATGAGACTGTGTATTTGTGTGAGTGTTTGCGTGCACATCTTTGTGACATTATCACGGCATGACATTCTAAATAGGGCTCATTAAGCTAATGTCATTAATTGGCCAGATGTGCCTTCTGAGAAAAAAAATGGGTTGTCAGCGAAGGTCACTGGTGAAGAAAACTCCTGCATCAACATTACTGGTTCATTTATAGACTTTAGAGCACAAATGTTAATCAGAGTGCAGAGTTGATTTTCCTCCAAACCATGATATGTGTGTGTGTGTGTGTGTGTGTGTGTGTGTGTGTGTGTGTGTGTGTGTGTGTGTGTGTGTGTGTGT